CTTGTGTCATCTTCTCCCCTTAACCCAGAAGTCTCAGGTGGCAGTCCCTGGGGGCCTGTGTAGAGGGAATCTGGCAGTTGGGGTTGTTGGCAGGTGCTGTGGGAGGTGTTGCAGCAGTGCGAGGTGGTGGGAGCCGGGCGCCCGCGAGAAGCCTGCTGTGTGAGGGGCTCAGGGGCTGTGGACCTAGGCGTGCTGAGCACGGGGGCAGGAGAGGACCGGACTCTGCTTGACCACAACTATCAGGGTCTGGAACTGAGCTGTGCCCACCTGTGTCTTGGCCTCAACAGACCTGTGCCCAGGCCTTATCCCCCCTTCTCTCCCTGTGTCTGTGGTTCCTACATCTCTGTTTGCTTGGGCTCCATCTGTACCTCCTTTCGGCCTGGACCTCACCCTCTCCTCTCCCTCTTCAGAGCCCATTCGCCACTTCTCCTTGTTCCCAGGCCTTACTTCCTCTTCTCCCAGTGCGGATGCCTGGCCCATGTCCCTCCTCCTGCCTGTCCTCCCTGTCCTTGTTCTTGGGCCTCCTCCATGTGTCTCCCCGTGTCTGTGTCTGAGACTGGTCCCTCCATCTCCTCGACCAAGCACATAATCCCATTTCTGCCTGTAACCCTACCTGCTTCAGTCCCCAGCCCCCTCTCCCTGTCTCTATAACTGGTTTTTCCACCTGCCTACCTGTCTTCCACATCATAACTCTAGTAAATTACCACTGCTCGTGTTACCACATCCATAGAGAGCTGGCTAGCATACATGGGGGGCTCTTGAGTTCACAGGGTGCCTTGGAGACCAAGTGACAGGGTCTTTCTTACCCAAGTATCCATCTCCCTGTGGGGTCCAGACCTCTGGAGGTAAAGGGATCAATTCAAGGAAAAGGTGATGTCTCTTGGAGTTGGCACTACGGGGATGAGAGCCAGGGAACCACAAAATAGTGAGCAAGTGGTTTAGCATCAAAAAGTTAGCTGGTAGGTGTTGGAGTTGAATAGTCCTGTGGACTGGGGACACAGACCTCTAGGCAGGAATTTGAGGGCCCCAGATATGGGGGGCTGGAGGGAAAGCAGGGAGTGCTTTGGGATGGAAGAAAATTGGCACCTTAAATTATTGCCATCCTCTGTGGGTCCTCTATTCTGATGCTAGGCAGAACAGTGTGCAGCATCCCCTCTGCTTTCTCTTGCTGCAAACTACCCACATACCATGAAGTTAGCATCTTTGCCAGCCTTAAGCACTCCATGCAATAGCGTTTTTTTTTTGCTAGCTGGAGCTAGTTTTGTGCTAGTGTCGGAGCTGTGTTGCTGGGTATATATGAAAGATGTGTTTTAAGCTGTTTTCACTTGGCTAGACCTCGGGCTCTTTCCCTCAGGAGTAACCACACCAGCATCCAGACTGGGACATCTGTGGGACTGGAAGGAGGCCGACCTGAAAACCTGAGCTGAGCTGACTAGGTGAGCCCAGGGCAGTTGTTGTGGGACCAACTTCTGCATGCTGCTCAGACAGCCCTACAGCAATGGTTGCCACAGGGGTCTGGGGCAGCAGAGGAGTAGACTTCCCTCTCCATAAAGCTTGCATCACCAGAATGCAGTACATCCTGCCAGTCAAAGGCAGCTCTGAGGACATCCCCTGAGAGATGTTTAATGTTACGTCAGGTAGTTATTGCCAGCAGGCCAAACACTGGACCCAGTGCAAGGAACAAACTGACAACATCCAGGGTGGAATTGAAGTTGGGCACATCTGCCGGTAGAAGCAGCTGTGGGGAAAAGATGAGGCTAGACAGTCATTGGCTTGGCCCTTAAAGGATGAGGTAGATTCCAGTTCACAGAACAGAAAGCTCCTCAGCTGAGGCATTGTGACATCCCGAGTCATGAGGTTGGCAGTAGGTACCTGTGCTTAGCATGACATTTGACACTAGCTATAGTGTGCTGCACCTGACATAACCATGTGTGGCATGCTTTGAAAAGAGCTGGCCCACATGGTGCTTGCTCAAGTTTCAGGCTCTGGAGCCCAGATGACCCCGCCTTCATCTTCCTCCCTGTGGTGAGTGATGAGCCTGCTGCTCACACCCCCCCAGGACATAGGAGCAGTTTAGAGAGACAGCCCCATCGTTTCTCCTCACAGACCATGGCTAGGCATGCACGTGTGGGAACAGAAATCTGAAAGACACGGGAGGTGGGGTGCCTTTGGTTTGGGTTCTTTTCAAGATGAGGTTCGAACTGAGGAAGCATTTGGAAGGAACCATGGGTCTGAGGAAGGGCTCTCTGAGGAGCCACCTGGAAAAATGGTACAAATGCACCTCTTCATTTCGAGTTATATTGGTGTGTGTGATACATAGACTCATCTGGGAAAGAAGGAACCCATCCCAACACCATAATCCTCTACACACTGGCTCCCTAAGTCAAAATATTTATTATGTATGTATTATGTATCATTGATATGCACATGTGAGGTGCCTGCCTACCTGTGTGTATATGTGTGTACCTGGAGCCCGTGGAAGCCAGAAGAGGCCATCAGATCCCTCAGAACTGGTGGTTGTGAGCCATGCTGGTAACCAAGCCTATGTCCACTGCAAAAGCAGAAAGGGTTCTTAGCTGCTGAGCCACCTCTAGGCCCCTTGAAAACAAAACATTTTATTATAGTACATTTCCACTTGAGCCTTGCCATCTAGCACAGTGGACAGTCCCCAGTGAGTATCCGGTTTCCCTAAGAAAGCTGTGTTGGGATGCTAGCCCTACATGCATGAGGCAAGTCCTTAATAGGAAAGATTCAACTATACAGAATTTGGGACTTAAAATACTGGTGATAAAAAATACTGGTGACAAAATGGTTGAATACACATGGACCCATTGAGCACTATCTACAGGTATTACATCTCTGGCAGAAAATGACAAGCCGAGCCCGAACCCCAGCCCATGGTCAGGCCCGTGGTCAGGAGACGGTACAGCATGCTGGGGCTGCTGCGGTGAGTACCCACCTTTTCCAGCTCAGTCGTGTCTTGACACCCATCCAATGGGGCATGTGGCAGGGAATGAAAAGATTTGTCCTAGAGCTCAGTGGTAGAGCATTTGTCCAGTATGCAGGAGGCTCTGAGATCCATCCACAGCATATGTAACCTGGGGCCTGGGAGGAGCGGAGACCTATCTCAATGTGAGGAGACCTGTCTCAGTGTGAGGAGACCTGTCTCAGTGTGAGGAGACCTATCTCAATGTGAGGAGACCTATCTCAATGTGAGGAGACCTATCTCAATGTGAGGAGACGAGTCCTTTTTTTGGTGGTTCTCACTTCAGATCCATCCTCTGCCCCCTCCCCCTGTTTGTTTTTTCAAGAGAGGGTTGCTCTGTAACAGGTCTAGCTTTCCTGGAACTTGTTCATAGACCAGGCTGGCCTTGAACTCACAGAGATCCACCCGCCTTACCTCCTGAGTGCTGAGTTTAAAGGTGTACATCACCCACTGCCTGACTCAGATCTCCTTTTAACAATCACATGCTTCATGACTAAGTTACTGAATGCTGGGGACCAGTTTAGGGCTGATGAGTTCTCTGGTGCCCACCTGCGACATAAGGGAATTCAGTTGTGTTTGTGCATGAGCAGAGCCAGCAGCCTGGATACATCCCACCGAGACCTCAGCAGTCACCCGCAGAGGGGGACTTGGTTGGCCGAGGACGACAGAGAGGAATGGTAGTGGGAGCCACGTCCAAATCACAAGGTAAGCAGGGGGACAGTGAAGGGCTGCCACGTGCAGGGTTCTGGGTGCTTCTGCAAGGGCCCATCACCAAGCTGCAGAGTGATGGCTTGTGTGCCCTGCCGTGCAGGCTGGAAATGAGAGACTGCAGCTTGCCAGGGCCGTCTCAGCAACACAAAATTAAATTTCAGACATGGCCTCGGTATGCCTATTCTGTGTTAATTAGCCATTTTTAGCATGCTTTCTTGGCATCTGTAGTGATTCCCTCACAGCCTTACTATGGGTTTGACTTAATGTGTCTTCACTTGTGTTGAGCTGGGCAGAGAATCAGCACAGCCACTGCCAGCTCTCAGCCAAAGTGTGCCCGGCTGCCAGCAGAGTGGGAAGTCTTGTCTTGGAGGGACATTTCTCCCCACATACGTCTTTCTCCTCTGAAGGAGGGGAGACTGGTTTCTGGGAGTCCACTAGTAGGTACTGCTATAAGACTGCCCATGACTCCAGCTAGAATGCTACCGCCAGACCACAAACCCAAGGTTGTCCTGTGGCATGCTTTTGTTTTCAGGTGCCTGGCTGTACACACACTGTGCATGGAATGGTTTGGTAACTTTAGACTCCAAGGACTGTTTTTACAATAAGCAAAGAATTGATAGGTTAGTACTGTTAGTGACCAGCATGACCCAGTATGGGAGTGTACATGCCCCTACTGCTGGTTGTAAGCAGAACTGAGAAGTCAGGAGGCTACCTGTCATATGTCATATTCTCACCCAGGTTATAGAGTCAAGACCCTAACCCCTAGCTCCCTGCAACTGTAATTACAGTATGCCAGCCTACAGAGGACATGAAGGCTGTGAGACTTAGATTAGGAAAACCTATTTCCCAATCAACAAATCCATGCCTCGGATCCTGGCATCATATCCCAGGAACTTGGCCTGTTAGAGTGGCCAGAACCAGGGTAGACAGCTCTGCGAAGGATGAGGTCACAAGATGGACAAGAGTGGGCTGCATCTCCTACCTTGAGCCACTGTGGGGATACTGCTGTCCTCCAGCCCATTCACTCCAATCAGTGAGATGATTTTCCTCTCTCTTGAAGAACTGCAGATCTCAGCTGGCTTTCAGGAGCTGTCATTGGCAGAGAGAGGTGGGCGTCGCCGAGACTTCCATGACCTTGGTGTGAACACCAGACAGAACCTTGACCATGTCAAAGAGTCGAAGACAGGTGGGCTCACAGAAGCACCTCTTCAGGGGGCATTCTTTATGTCACTGGGATGTCGTGCTGCTCTGGTTCAGGGAGGAGGGGATGCTCTGCTCAGCAGCTGCAGTCTCTCCAGACCCTCCCCTTCTCTTTCTTTCTCTCTGTTACACACACATGCACACATGCATACACACAGAGCTGTGGCCACACATCTGGTGCATGTCTTAGCTGTGACTTCTGGCAGGTTTTGTTAAATATTTCATAAACCCCTTCTACAGAGATCAGTTGTTTTTGTGGTGGGTATGTGGTCTCCCCTGAAGCTCCCCAGGGCCAGCTGTCTTGAAGGCAAGTGCCGACCACTGTCCTCAGCTCTGCTGTGTCTGAAGGAAAGATCTCATAGAGCATAACCATGCCAGGGGCTGACTGTGTGTGGCGGCCCCTCAGGCTCCTCGGGCATCATCGTGAAGCTAAGCACCAACCACTTCCGGCTGACCTCACGCCCGCAGTGGGCCCTGTACCAGTACCACATCGACTATAATCCCCTGATGGAGGCCCGCAGGCTGCGCTCTGCACTGCTGTTCCAGCATGAAGACCTTATTGGAAGGTGTCATGCGTTCGATGGGACAATACTGTTTTTACCTAAGAGACTACAGCACAAGGTTATTTCAAATGTCCCCACTGGCAGAGGGGTTGGGGGTGTCCACCTCAAAGCAAAGCTCAGAAAGGGTCTCCTGGCAGGGGACATAGGACACCTCGAGGTCCTTTATGACTCACTGTGTCCTTGGAGTCAGGCAGAAGGGCTGTGGAGAGTTATATGAGGGCTCTCAGCTACTTGGCCAACTTCTTAGTCTGTGCTCAGGGGGACTTGTCTTAGAGCAGGGGCCCCAGGAGCCTGGACATGCTTTTCTCCACAGAAGATAAGAGCTGGGTTCTCACCTCTTTGGCTTTAGGTCACGGAAGTTTTCAGCCAGACTCGGAATGGGGAGCATGTGAGGATTACCATCACCCTGACCAACGAGCTGCCGCCCACCTCGCCCACCTGCCTGCAATTCTATAACATCATCTTCAGAAGGTTCGTGCCATGGCAGCGTGCATGCACTGTGGTTTGTGTACACACACATGCACACATGCATACACACAGAGCTGTGGCCACACATCTGGTGCATGTCTTAGCTGTGACTTCTGGCAGGTTTTGTTAAATATTTCATAAACCCCTTCTACAGAGATCAGTTGTTTTTGTGGTGGGTATGTGGTCTCCCCTGAAGCTCCCCAGGGCCAGCTGTCTTGAAGGCAAGTGCCGACCACTGTCCTCAGCTCTGCTGTGTCTGAAGGAAAGATCTCATAGAGCATAACCATGCCAGGGGCTGACTGTGTGTGGCGGCCCCTCAGGCTCCTCGGGCATCATCGTGAAGCTAAGCACCAACCACTTCCGGCTGACCTCACGCCCGCAGTGGGCCCTGTACCAGTACCACATCGACTATAATCCCCTGATGGAGGCCCGCAGGCCGCGCTCTGCACTGCTCTTCCAGCAAAAAGACCTTATTGGAAGGTGTCATGCGTTCGATGGGACAATACTGTTTTTACCTAAGAGACTACAGCACAAGGTTATTTCAAATGCCCCCATTGGCAGAGGGGTATCTGATGCCCACCTCAAAGCAAAGCTCAGAAAGGGTCTCCTGGCAGGGGACATAGGACACCTCGAGGTCCTTTATGACTCACTGTGTCCTTGGAGTCAGGCAGAAGGGCTGTGGAGAGTTATATGAGGGCTCTCAGCTACTTGGCCAACTTCTTAGTCTGTGCTCAGGGGGACTTGTCTTAGAGCAGGGGCCCCAGGAGCCTGGACATGCTTTTCTCCACAGAAGGTAAGAGCTGGGTTCGCACCTCTTTGGCTTTAGGTCACGGAAGTTTTCAGCCAGACTCGGAATGGGGAGCATGTGAGGATTACCATCACCCTGACCAACGAGCTGCCGCCCACCTCACCCACCTGCCTGCAATTCTATCACATCATCTTCAGAAGGTTCGTGCCATGGCAGCGTGCATGCACTGTGGTTTGTGTTGGGTGGGGAGGTGTTAGCAGTTCTGCTCTATGTGGTCATTTTCAAATGTGGTTTTCTGATAGGAAATTAATTTATCTGCTTCCAGGATTCTGCCCCTTCCCCAGCAGTGCTGACAGTATGCCTTGGAAATACTATTTAGCTGTTAAGACAGCACCTCAACTTTTCCTTCCCAGGATGGGTGGGTGGTTACTGGGGCAGGGGGCAACCACGTGGGAAGCAGCTAGCTTTTGGTACACATAGTACACTTTCCAAATTAGGACATGTTCTAGGCACTTGCACTTGTGCAAGCATGAAGACCTGGGTTCAAATCCTCAGCACCCACAAAAAGCCTGGCATGGCCATTTGCATGTAACCCCAGTGCTGGGGGTGAGCAAGACAGGAGAGTCACTGGGCCTGCTGGCTACCAGCCGCCTAGCTCCAGGTTCACTGTAAGACCCTGCAAGGGGGTGAGTGAGGCATGGAGAGTGATAAAACAGGATATCTGATGCCCTCCTCACTTATGCATTGGACACACACACCTGCACAAACCCCACAGATAAAAAATACACTCGCCCACAGACATGCCCACGGGCACACCCACGGACCCACCCACACCCACGGACATGTCCTACAGAAGACCCCTCCCTGTGAGAAACCATCTAAATGAGGCAGCATTGGGTTCATGATTTACTCCACTTGTATGTAGATGGCTCACTGGTGGAAGAATAGCTCACTTGGCCTGAGGGAATGCATTTGCTTGGTGCATTTGTCTTCAA